AAGATTACGATGTGTTAGATGGAAAAGTGATTGATTGATTGATTGATTGATTGTATACTGTTTCACGTCCCTCTCCAGAATATTTCACTGATATGGAGACGTCACCATTGCCGGTGAAGGGCTGCAAATTTTGGCCTGTCTGATGAAAAGGATGTTACAATAGGAGTGCCACATGGAACTATACTGGGTTTTTTAGTTTTATTTTTTATTTTATAAGTAAACAATTATCCAAAATGTCTGAAGCACTCAAATCTCAATATATATGCAGATGATACTTCACAGAATTTGTCACATAAATCTTTTGATGCTATTAAACAAAGGCTGCACGATGAATTTTTAAATTCTATGAAATGGATGGAAAGTAAGAAGGTTACGATTAACAATGCATGCTGATTGGTACTACACAAAAGCTCTCAAAATGTATAAAATTGTGTATTAAATAGGTGATGTTTCTAGAGACTGTTAAAAGCGCCAAACTATTTGGTGTACAAATACAGTCAAACCTATATTAAGAGACCTTCCAACGGAGAAAGAAAAAAGGTCACATTTGTCAGGTGGTCTCTTAATACAGGTTGCTTATTTTCCGCAGTGTTTAAATATACAATGCTGAAAATATCACACGTGTATGTTGAATGTATTTTATAACCACTTTTTGATAGGTACTGCTCAACTCTAAAATGTTTTTACAATTGTTCTGTTAATTTAAGATATAAAAACTTGCTTGTTCTGCACATGAGTCATTTGATTATTGGAAGATATTGTGAACCTCTGAAGTCATTCAATTGTTTTTCATACAGTATAAAAAAGCTGGAATTTTTTTTCCTAATAAGTTTTTTGTACATGATAATATATATATATATATATATATATATATATATATATATATATATATATATATATATATATATATATATATATATATATATATATATATATATCCAATGAAAAAAAGTCAGAAATCACAAATCTTGAAAATCATTTTTACTGTTAGCTCTTTCTGCCTAATGGCTCTTCAGACAGTTAAAAGCGAAGCGGATTATAAGCGAAGCGGATTAAAAGCGAACCGAATTATAAAAAAGCGTAAACTAACCCAAACCATATTATTCTCGATAATTTGGCCAAGAATTAGAGTCATTCCTTATAATTTTATTTTAAAATAATTATTCAATTGGGGATGTAAAATTGTGTTGTTTTTATGAGTTCAAATTTTCCGCGCAATAATACAACCGTAGTAACGGAAGTGATGGGAAGCGAGGGGAAGTAAAAACTGATACATAGATCTAGCGGCCATGATGCTTGTTTACATGAGGTAAGATCGAGTAATTGTTTGAAATTAAAGGTACATTCATTAAATCTGGAATTTTCCATGAATCCCAAGGACTGGAAATTAGGGAATTGATGGATACAGATGATTATGCTGGTTGTCAAGGGGGTGTGTCCCCATACCAAACCAGATTATACAAAATGTTATGCGTTCCTTTTTTGAAATCAACCAATGAGAGGCAAGAATACAAGCAAAATTAAATTATTAAGAAATAAAAAAAGGTATTATGATTTTTGATATGCACTTGGTATCAAATTAAACAAAAAAATATTATATTTATGACTGAAATATTAATTTAGCCTAATTATTTTTTTCATAAGTAAACTACCGTGTCTAATTGTTGCCTGTTTGTGACCAGGTATTTCTTCACTTCAATCATCACCTGGTGTGGGTGCTAGCTAGCACATGTTTACATACCCATTGGTGACAAAATGCACTTAAATAAACATCTAGGATTTAGTTACATGTTAATTAAAGTTAAATAGGCACGTTTTTTAGATAAATATCCATTTGGCCTTTACAGCATGAAAAGATATCGGGATCGACCTAGAACGTCTATTTTCAAAATGACGCTCGATCACTGTACAGAAAAGACGTGATGTTTATGTTTATGTTATAGAATCATCATGAACTTGAAGAAATCCAAACTCATACTGTTTACATTTTTAGTGCTCTTAAATGGATGCCTGTACATGATAACTTTATACAAGATACAAGATACAAGATTTTATTAATCCAATTTGGGCCCCCGGAGGAGCAAAAAAGATTTACAAATAGAAGAAAACTATATATATAGAAAACTTGTGCTTGCATTTAAAGTTATGAAAAGTATGACGCCAGAATATTTGAATGTACACTGTATTAAAGGAATTACTGTCTAGTTAGGAGAGTATGTCAGGGCATCAACAATAATGAGAAACATTGGATAATTTTTTCCCCCTTTATGCTTAAATTATCCCATGTTTCCCACTATTGTAGATGTCCCTGACACACCCTCATAACTATACAGTGATTTCTTATATTTCCATTTTTACTTGAAATAATAATCCAAAGATAAATCGTAATACCGGCTAATTTAGTAGATTTGAAATGCACGGGGCATTTTATGTTCTTTTCTATTTCACATGACGTCAAATGTTACAATTTAAAAATAGTCCCATAAAACACGAACGAAATTTAATGATTATTTAGTTACTGTAGCCAAATATCAACATTTATAGAATAAACAACAAAAGATATTATTAAAATTTATAAATTATGACCAAAGCAATCTTGTTAACTTTAATTATATATGTGACCTATATTTAGGTTGTCGGAAGCACAAAAACGTATATAGGCTCTAGGACACAATATTACAGTTGATGAAACGAGAGTTGGTCAGCATGGCCAGGAAACAGATTTGTGTGGATGTTAAAACAACAGAGGGAGTTGAGTTGCTTAATAAGTCGGATGGTAATGACTAAGAGACGATGTCTGTATCATATGATGAAGTGCGTATCGATCTATGTGGCGATGCCGATTTCTCCACGTGGTTCAGATGGGCCATGTTTTAGGGAAGTGGAGCTCGGTCGCGCGAGTCCTCGGTGGTAGTGGACTCGGTGACTTGCTTTTGATCTGGAGATAATTCATTATTTATTTTGTTTGTATAAATATATATATTATATCTAATTACAATTAAACAAAACATCATTTTTTTTCTTCAGTGTATTTATATGCCAGTCATGTATACATGCAGAATGACATTTGACCTTTCAGAAGTACGTCAATAGAGAAATTTACATGCCACAGAAATCATGGAAAAATTAACAAGACTTATTTAAGTACACATGTAGTATTTATCTTAGGGAAAACTACGGAAGCCCATTTCAATTTTTAGAATTCGTTATGATGAATTTAATATGTTATTACAGATTCAAATATTGAATTCGTAATAACGAATTGAATCTGTTATGACAGATTTGTTGAATTCGTTATAACAAATTCAATCTGTTATTACAGATTTGTTGAATTCGTTATAACCAAATTCTTGAATTGGTTATAACGAAATCAACAAATCTGTAATAACAGATTAAATTCGTTATAACGATTTCAATAAATCTGTAATAACAAATTAAAATCGTTATATCGATTTCAATGAATCTGTAATAATGAATTAAATTCGTTATAACGAATTCTAAAAATCGTTATAACGAATTCAAAAATATTTTTTGATAGGTCCTAAATGGACTTCCGTAGAAAACAATTGGAAATGGAAATATTTAGCTATATTAGCCAAGTAAGCTCAAGGGCAACAAGAAGTAATGCTAGCGGTCTTTTATATACTCCAAAAACACGAAATGAATATAATAAACGGTCTTTTAAAGTTTCTTTGGCTTCTTTTAAATCAGCATACAATGTATTTGCAGAATAAAAATTTAAACAAGTGAAGTAATTGTTCTTACATGTATCTTATGGCACACTGTTTTTTTAAAAACTCAGTTTATTGAATATTATGTACAAATATGTCTTATATAATATGCCATGTATAGTTTTTACTCTATTTGCTAATTTCATTTCTTTTAAACTGTCTGTTAAAACGTTTTATAAACATTTTTTGAATATAAATAAAGGATATTTTTTGAATATAGATAAAGTATATTTTTCTTAACTTGAAAAGTGCTGCTGCTTTCTTTAAATCAAGGGTGTGATTTTATAAGTACACAAAATATTTGGTAAAAGTCTAGCATTTTTCGACATTGACTAATTTACCTAAAAGATTAACTATTAAAACGCCAATTCCATTCAAAACAGCAGCACTTTTCAGAAACAATTAATAGCTTGAATTTTTTAAATTTCAAATAGTGTATGCCCTTGGAATATTGAAATTTGTTCATGACCTACATTCAGTATACGAACTATGCATTCATCACGTGACTGTCCATCGATGAGACCAAACGTGATACAGTACAGAGTGGGCTATGCTGTGCTATTTCCATAATTATTTGAGTTCTGTGATAATAAAACAGCTTAATTAAAATAAATTCAATTTTAATAAGGTCCCCCTATTTTATACGTCTATTCTCTGTTGATTTCTCAAAGTAGGCCTTAACAGTGCTGTGCGCGGCACCTCAGTTTATATGGTCTCATCCAAAGGACCAATCACTATGTCCAGCAGTGGAATCGAACCCACAAAGTAAGATTCATCTCCATACTCCGCGACTCTAGTGCAGACGCTCTAGCCAATGTATCACGAAATATCAATATAGAGAGGCGAGTGATATGTTCAGTTCAGATATTAATGATATATAATGCACAAAATGAGATTATGTCTAAGTCTTTTTTTTCAAAAGTGAAAGTTTTGCATACATGATTTACCCTGGTATGTCACTGAATGTGTTGACGAATTTATTCTAATGGTTATCAGAGAAGGGGAATTATAATATTTTCGACCATGCAACATCTGTTAAGTGATAAATGTTCTGCGTAAATCTAAAAAAAAAGAACTCCTTACCTTTCTGGCACATGCTTGCTCCCGCCATTTTTGTGTTAGCCAGTCAAAGCCATCGGAACATCTCCCAGTTATAGGGCACCATTTACAGTGAAATGAATCTTCCTGAGTTAAACATGTTGTACAATCCTTTGCAATGTTACAAGCTGTAAGCGAGTATAAAAACGTAAAAACATTTAAGTGATTTTGTTTGAATAAGAAACATCTTTTGAGAAACTGAGGTGCAGATAAATCTGAATTTGGATAAAATAAAGCCAAGCGGTTTGTAACAGGTATCATTGCTGGCGTTAAGGCATTGTCAGAGACAGAAAGAATTATTTTTGTCTACTCACGGTTTAAGAAGAACAAATACTGATATAATTTAGTGTAGTAATATTGATCGAGCATTTCCTATTCCCCGAAACAAAAAAAAAACAACCTACTCTTTAATGGGTCCAAAATAACCACCGTCCCTGTCCGAACAAGTTTAAAGTCGATGTCTATACGGTTGTATTCGTGTACTGTTCTTCTTATTACACCGCCTGAAGATATAGTTCTATGTAATACTGGATCAACATTACGTTTTGATAAGAAAATTACTTTTTGATTCTTTTATTATTTAATTGGATTTGGAATTGATAAAATATTTTACATAAATGTGGCTCATAATGTTTTTTCTTTGAGTTGGTTTTGAATGAAGGTTTTCCGAACGTTACAGAGTAAATTGGCTGATTTGAACAGAAGTCACATCATTTTAAAATTGAGAAAAAGGAAGATTTTTATGCTTAATATCTTTTTACTTTTGGGACCTGTTCGTATCCATATATTTCTGATAGGATATACAAAGGCTGTCCAAAATGTTCGCGAGAAAAGTTTGTTTTTGTTTTGTGCTATCAAAATTTTAAATTAGTCGATGGCTGAATGGAAATGTCAAATAGGAAAAATAACAATATAACACTAATGTTATTAGGGGAAATTTTGCTTTGACCAATGACTCAGTCGGACGTATAATCATGTTAAGGATTTCTTAGTTTTACATTTTGCATTTCATCATCTGTCAGGACTCTTTCACTTCCTCTAAAATGTAAATGCCACCCTAATTTTTTTTTATGCAACAAAGGAATAAATATATTATTTCTTAGCCCTGTTGAAATTATTGACATATTTTCAGGTGCTCCAAGGCGCTTTTGCAAGATCATTATCGACATATATTTACATTTGCAAATGTTTTCCCGCATATACATGTGTATCACTATTTGAACAAGGCTTGTTTACATCTCCGTTAAACAAGTTCGTCATGTGACCATAAATTGATTGTTTAGTCATACCTTCATTAGGTAATTTCATAGTGACGTCTTAAGCGATCGACGTTTTTAACAAATTCAATTTATAGCGTTAAGGTTTGAAAAAATAAATTACGGATTTCAAACTTTACTTAAGTACCTTACTATTTGTAATTACTCAGTCACAAATGTAAATATAAGTAATAAGGTATTAATTTTTGAGTTTTATTGTAATGTAAAACGGGTGGGATTTGATCACGTGACCAACCGGTTTTCCATCCCAATAAAGCTTTTAAAATGATATCTTATTTCATCATGCTAATATCATCATGCTGATTCGTTTGCATGGCAGACGTCGTTTTGTGTAACTTTTTCAAATTTCAAATATTTATATACTTTTTTTCTCTCCTGATATTCCCTATATCCGTCTAATAAGTGACAGAAACGACATCAGAAAATGACATAATAATTATAAGTAATTGAGTTTTTGAAATTTTGAATTTTTACATTAAAATCTAGACACTTTATTACAAAGTTAACTAGGTAACCCCTGGTACTGCACACTTTATATCAGTCCTCGTATATGATATATCATCATTACTCATACCAGCTATGACGTCGATGTAGTATGCATCGGATAAGCCTACTTTTACGGGATGATTCTTCATGTCAATATCAAACAGATCTACAGGTACCTTCAATAAAGATTTATTTTACTTGTTACTTGTTTTGCACAGACAAAAAACACATTACACCTATAGTGATATTGAATACTTAACATTATCCCGGTGCATGACAAATTAATTTGAGAGACATGTATACTTGAAACGAAGAAATGTGATAAAGTTGCAATTAAAAAGCTACAGATGTATTAGAAATGAATTCCAGACAACTGTTGCAAGGCACCAATAAATGTTTTTACCTGTACCCGTGCATTAAAATCATAAATAAAATAAAAACCATATAAGTATTATCTTGAAAAAATTTCAGAAATAAAAATCATGAAGATCTTTAGATAGTTTCGAAAATAAAAGAATTATAAAGAATTTTTTTTAATATCTTCTCTTTGTATCTTAAATATTGTTTGCTTATATACTAGGAATAAATTATGACAAATGTTCATTCATGTCTTGTGGCCATTTTTGCCTATCTGTTTGTAATTATTAGCTAAATGATGGATTTTACCTGTTTGTAGGCAAAATAGATTGTGCCATTTGCATGAAGCGTTGTCTGAAAATGGAACGGCTTAGCTACAAAAAAGACATAAAATTTTGTCAACTTAGTCTATAAAATCACATTTTTCGTGGGGTAAAATTTTGGTGTTTTGAATAAAACACTTGGTTCGTGCATGGCAGTTTGAATTAATTGATGAAGATTTGTTGAGTAATTATGCATGTAACATCTTACATTTCGTGGTGGACATGAATTCATTGGTCTCCTCATACCTCAAAGACAACGAAAATTACCCCAACAAAAATTTGTGATTTCACAGTATTAGAAGCCCTAGAAAATGAAGAGCCAAAGGACCGTACCAGTGTATATCACAGCAATTAAGAGGATCCTTCTAGTATATTTAATCAATAAAATGCTTTCTTTGGTTAGAAGTACGAAAATGAATGTCTAAGTTGTTCCACAAAAATACATAACCCGCGAGTAAGCGAGTAATATAAAAAAATCTGCATCAGCTGCAACATTCATTCCCGTACTTACAACCAAGAAAGGCATTTTATTGTTTATATTTGTATCTGTTTCAATAATCATTTAAAGTAGGATAAAAAAGATTAATTATTGTATCATTGATTCGACTGTCTTAATACGTTTCAATGATGGAACAGCCACCAATCAAGAAATCTGTACAGGTGATATGCCTAGTGTTGTTCATGCACTTATTAACGGCAATGGGGTTTCTTAAGAAATCAAGGAGAACATATTCACTTATTGTAAATATAACAAAATAATTGATGAATCTTTATTGTTTTAAAACAAGAGAAACAAGAGAGGTCATAAGATCAGGATCAAGAAAATAATCGGTGATATTCAGTAACAACTAATAATTAAGATCTTATTTGCCCTTACTCCGTTTGTCCAAAATATGTTCAGAAGCAAACAAAAATTTCACAGATGCAATCATACATTTTCACTACAGATTGAGCACAGCCCTATCCAAACACCAGAACCCACTCCCAGCAGCAGGGTAAAAAAAATTTAAAAATTTTGAATAGTTACCCTCATCATCATAACTATGCGCGTCACAGAATTAACGCATCTCAACTATATTATTGATAGCCTTCTCCTGTAAGGCCAGATCCCAGGATGCTGGGACCAACAGTTTAAAAAATTCTATTTGAAGCATCCATGCCCATCTTAACTATGCAAAATTTTTGTTTACTCAACACTTATGAGAAGATAAGACTATCTGATTTAATGAAAGCTATCCCAGTACATTATCAACAGTACCCTACCTGACAGAGAACGTCTCAACTATAGGGGCCATGAAAATAACAGATATATGTAAGAAGTACTTTTGCTTATCACAAAATATACAGCTCAAATGCTTTTCGTACAAATAAGCAACATATTTATATTTAGTACACCAGAATACAGACAAATTCAGTTAAGTGCACACAAAGAAACGTAAGGTAAAAATATCTTAAAATCTTTCCTTTCTACAAGCTGGGATGTACGAGACGGAATTAACGTTTTATTGATTTTACTTGAAATTTAGTTCATCAATCGATGATAAGTTGTTCATTATGACATCGTGAAACAATGTCGAAATTCGGTAAGGTTAAACAAAAATGGTGAAAATTTTGGGCACACTCTGACTTAGACGAATATTATTAGTGATACAGGAAAGACCAAACTGTAGGAAGCAATTGGTTTTCTAGAGATGTGAGGATTTAAAGAAAGTAGAACTTTCGTGAGACGGATGAAATGTGTGGCTGCCTGTTTTAAAGATCATTTATCTAGAGGACAAATTAAGCGTGTATGGAATTGGACTGTGTAAAACGTTGGCAATAATATTTTGAATTCTTCAAGCGCTCAACGTTTTAAAACTTGTTTTTTTCTAATTATTTTTTTGCTGGAAATTGTTATCATTATAGAATTTGTTACACATTTTAGATGAAATTCATATCCAACTAAGAATCATGATTCTAATTCTAATACAAGAATTTAAAGATTACACTATTATCCTCAGTGAGTTAGTTTTGCATTGCATCCGATTACCAAGTCATTGATTTAATTTTCGATTTCTATGTTATGTTAAATCCCATTTTTGAATAATTGGAATACGATTATACATGTAAAACGACTCAGAACTATCTTAAAATTTGGCCTTACTGTCATTCTTGTCTGGGAGATAAACATCCTGCCATTCCAATACAAACTTGTCACCTGCAGAAAGAAAGTAAAGGAAATTATCAATATCATAGCTCATGTGATTGATACAAAAAGAAGACATATGTAGCTTGATTATTCGAATGATAAGTTAACGAACCAAAGTCTTTATACAGGATGTTTGAATCTTCAGCTTCAAACATTGCCATCAGTGGAGCAGTATACTGTGTGTCTTGGAGATTATTATGAATAAATTGGCCCATGTATAAAAATCCTGAGAATATAAACATGTAGACACAATTTGTTCCAAGGTGTAAAAATTTTTATCTCCAAATTACTATAATACCCATGAAATATGAACTCTACTGAGTATGTTATAATTATATAGTATTATCTTACATGCTTTAACTTTTTCATTGTTCATTACCTGAGCTGGTTAATATGATCTTGGTTATGTTATTTCCATAAAATCTGAATTTAAATTTCAGGTCAGCCTTCTGCAAAATAGATGGAATGTCGCATATTGTTTTTTAAGATACAATTTTGTACAGATAAAGGCTTTTTGAGATGTATTAGCAAGCTTGTTTTCAGTGATAGATTGTAGCTTGGAGGACTGTATTAAAGGTCTTTTTTACAGTCTTTGTGTCAAGTATATATTTTTTACATTTAAAAAACAAAATTATGAAAAATAAAAATGCTTCTCCACTAGGCTCAACTCTTAATTTCTTTACCATGATATGAGCTTTAATGAGATGAATGACTACTCAGGGAACTGTGTCTGTTTTGACCCCTATCACTTGTAGATCTATTCCTTATTTATATAAAGATGACAGAGAAAAAAGAAGACAAAAATCAACGAACAAAAAAAGTGTTCACTTTGATACTTACCATACTTATCGGATAGCTCCCCCTTATGAGTGTCATATATCCTTTTGTATTTTTCAGGTCATTCCAGTATTCATTGAAATCAGGAGTTTTTGTCATTACTTTTGAAGTGTAATACCCATGATTCCTAATTATCTGTAATGGTTTATAATAAGTTTAGTTAACAGTATTGAGTAATTAATCGTTTAAATTGACCTCCAATTGAACGATTATTCCGAAATATGTTACGTTTTCTAAACTTTTTTTTTATTTTGCTATTTTACGTACCAGGGAAAGGACAGGATCGGCGCCTCCAACTCTTCTCGATAGAGTTTACAAACCGATTTAAATATCAAACATATAAATGTATCAATTAAATTTTTGTCATAATATATTGCAGTGAACAACTTCTCTTTGCCCTGTAAACGGCGGTGTGTTTGTGTGTGAAATATTCACAAAAAGAGGTAAAAATTCTACATCTATTGTTTTTCTTAAAAACCCATTATTATATTAGTGTTTGGTTTTGATTTACTTACCACATTTTCAGAGTCTTGTGGAATGTTGATATATTTTGTTGTGGTAATGTCAATTTTGCCATTGGTACGAAATGGAGCACTGCTTAAGTTACTAATCTGTCTTTTGTTTAATGATGTAAAGATTTCATCTTCATTAGATCCACCGTCTTTCACAAGGTAGGGAACATCTAAAATAAATATCTTTTTAGGTTCCCATTGATAAATAATATTACAAATTTACTGACTAGGTTCAACTGCATGTTTTGACGTATATCAAGAGCCACACTTTAATCCTAAATCCGTTACGTCGGAGATTTTTTAAACATGGATTTATTTAAGAAAACAATTGCAAAGTATATATAACATTAATCTTGAAGATTGGCCTTTCGTTAACGTTCTAATCATGACATGCTCTGTGACCATCTGTAACTGTCAGGGATTAACAAAATAAGTTTGACGAAGGGTTCTAAAATATATCTCAGGCATATTTTTGGACACATTCGACCAATTCCACCAATTAGTTTGTTTGTTTCTGTGCATATCTCATTCCTCACTTACCCAGGTATTAATCTTAGTTATCCTTCAAACTGAATCAATTTTTATTTGTATAAAAAATACTTTGAACTTAGTGACATATACTATATACTAGTATTGATGGGCCAAATGTGGTTTGAGGCTTTGTTTTGAAGTTTTGAAGAATATGAAAAATTTTCAGAACTAATGGAATTATTACAGACAGCTGTTTCGACCACAGTCTCGCTCTCCTGTAAGCGAGCTTCATCAACATTTTATTTAATCGACTTCGAGCCATCGCATATGGCCAGTAAATTTGTTAAATGTAATCCTCTTATACTCTTTGATCTGTACCAAAATATTACTAATTATTTCTGGGTTCAAATACAGCATGTGATCAGTTAGATATATAAATGTTAGCGTTATGTTCTTTGATCTGTAAAAAACAGTTGTAAATTAAGTGTAGTTAACTAAATGCCAGAATTTCTGTGCTTATTTCAATTACTCCTTCAAAGTAGATAGACAAACCTACTCTGTTGCTGATCCTGAACTTAAGGCACATTGATACTCTGATAAGAGAGATAACTCTTAATGACAAAAATGTCTATGATTCCTTTACAAATTTGTCAAGTTTAAGTGCCTTTCTGTCAAATTTTGTCCCGCAAGCCATGCTTTAATTGTTTGTATTTTATTCAGCATATATATTTGCTTTGGAAAATCATAAAAGTTAAAGAAAAATTTCATATGAGTGAGCAGAGGGTTTATGAACCTTAATGTGAAAGGGGGACGGAAGGTGTTGAGGCCCGAATGGTTCAAGGTTTAAAGTTTAGGAGGGTGTCCTATTTATAAAACTGGATACAAAGAATGCATTTTATCGTATTTAAGATTAATATTTTATTCTTGAATTAGACTTCGGTATTTTCAATCTACCCGATCGATACATAGGGCGAATTCACCAACGGACACCCTTGTACTTCAACAAGTTCTAGCGATATCGTTACGGACGGAAAATTATCAAAATGGAGCTTACCACTTAGTATGTGATTAGAATATAAATTTGGGACACAATTATATGCCTTTTATTGAGAAAATGTCACCTAAAATTGATTTTTTCTAAATAACTGAAAATTCACCATGGGACGTATATTATTCACCATGCATCGGACAGACGGTATTTCGACCGAAAAAAATATACTTTTATCACAGTACTTTAAAATCCTTGATATATACTTTAAGATTTTATCTTAGAAATAACTCTCAGCTTAAATGTAATTAACGATATCGTTGCATAAATGTAGAACGATTCAAGATGGCTCACTTTGCCTTGGAAATGCTTTAAAATGTTTGTAATACTGTAATTCGCGCCTTTTTCTCATGGGTTAAGATAGTCTGGTTTGGAGGAGTAAATTAAGTCAGATTCTAGATGTTACATATGGATTACGTGTATTTTGACTGAAAATATAGAGTTTTTATTTTTTATTTCCGACAAAAAAATCTGTCATTTGGGTTCTGTATGAAAATGGTTGTGATTACATGTATATTTGCATTGGAAAGTGTCAGATGCATCGTTAATTTGTGTCCGGTGTACTGAGAAATGAACATACTACTTAAAACCAGCTCTAAAAAGATTTTTACAAACATTAAAGTGAAATTTCTCTAAAATTTTATGTAAAAATTACCAATTTTTGACAAAATTTACCAAAGTCTGACTCGTTCCGTTGAAGTCGAATTTAAAAGAACGATAACTCTAAAAATTGCATCGTCATAAATTTCTGGTTATTCCCTCTTGATGATTTAAAATATGACGTAACTTCACGACCATTCTTGGATTTCTTTTATCACAACATGATAAAAACAATTGGTATCATTAAAAAATTTTAATCTTCGGCTTCAAGTAAGAAACAACGGTTCTATATCTTCACCTTTTATTTACATTAATATTAGAGCGGAATTTGTAAACACCACAGTTAAATCTGCTTTCATGTGTTAACAAAGAGTGATCTTTTATATAAAATATAATTTACATACCCATAAATGATGTCTGTGAAGCCAGTTTTTCAAATTATGGAAAATGACTGATTTTTCTTAAATATTAATTTTATAAATAAATTGTAGCTGAATATGGCACGAAGGAATATCAATCTAGAAATATGGCGCCATTATTTTGGTGTGTTTCTCTTTTTTAAACAGAAAAATCCTCAAAATAACCCATTTCAAGAGTAATTTATCTTCAGAAAATATTGTCCACAGCTGTCACTCGCTTTTATTTTTCGAAATTTTGTGCAAAATAAAATGAAAAATTGCATATCTCAAAATCCTTTTAGGCAATGCCTGTAGACAATATTACAAGCATGAAAAATCACAGGGCAACATTTGTAATGAAACGGTACATTTTCAGTTCCAAAAATTTCCCCTTTTCGGTGCCCTACACGAGTACCACTGAGCTATCACCTCTCTAAACATTATATGGTTTTTAAAACAAAAACGAACTATTGTATTTACTTATCGGATTTTTTTTTAAAACGCCTCTTGATCTTTCTCCATTTTTAAAAAAAAAAACGTTTGTTATATGTAATTTGTTTTTGAATTAAAATGCTCCAGATATCGTTTCAAATTCATGGAGAGATGTACCCAAGATTGCAGATGTTTAAAAAAAAGTTTAAAATGTACATGTACAAAGCATGTTGTACAAAATGACTCATCTAATTAATTGTAAATTCATGTTCGGCAAATCAAAATATAATATCGGGAAAATACACTATTGCGCTATTACTGATCGTCCAAATTCAAAATGGCTGCAGCAAATATGCAACTCGCTTGGTAAAATAAACTTGTAATAAAATATAAACAATCATTTTTCTCACCTCATTATTTTGTTATGTAACTGTTTGATCGAAATACTCTTTTTACTCTTCGGGGATTGACTTGTAAATGTAGTTAACCGGGATATTTGTCTACTACTGTCTAATGGCCGTCTCTAGTTCAATTTTAGAGGTGAAAATTCTGTCGCCATTTTTCATTTCTCTTTTGAATCTGAGCCATAGGTTCACTATAATGTTTAAATCAGGGCTCTGAGCTTACCAGAACAAAGAGTGGAGTGAGTGAATGTAATTTTTATGTATCTTGAATTCTTGCACTAAACGGGCTCTTTGTATGGGTGCATTGTCGTCATGGAAGATGTAATTATTCCGAGAAAATGACACACAATGACCTGTTTCTAATGTCCATTAATAATATCAAAATATTTTTGAGCATTTATATCACATTTTACATGTACGACAGTAAGTGTGCCTACACCAAATTTTACGTAACCCCATACCAGCAAACTGAACATAGGTGTTGGAGGTTGCGATAAACATCAGGGTAGATAGTCCTCGAAGACTTTCTCCAGATGAATATACGACCATTGGATCCAATGTCAGTTTTGTAACGATTGCCTCTGCACCAAGAAAGCCGAGCTTTACGACTGACTTCATGAATTCTGATTCGTTTTTGTACAACTCTCCTAAAATACCTCTAATTATATAAAGTTCTCTGCACAGTTCCTTTTGAAACTGTAGATACTCTGTTGATTTAATAATGCAGTGACATCGGACAAACTTCGTTTTTCTGATTTCTTTCACTAACCTCAAAAGTTGTCGTACATCTCTGTCATTAAATTTTGACTTTTCCCTTGGTAGATTTTCGATATTACCTCGCTTCCGAAAATGATCGGTCACAGATGTGATTGTTGTACGGAGTATTCCAATTATCGAGAAATTCCTGGTTGTTTCAGTCCCGTCAGATACAAAGAAATAACTTTTATTTTGACACCATTACTCAACTCTTTCCGAGCAGGATCCATATTGTTTACATTTACAATATACGCAGCAGTCGAGAATTTGTAACGAGTAAATTTGTCAGGTGATAGTCAATACGACATTCTTAAAATGGTGTAATTTTCGATGATATCACCTTTGTTTATATATAGTATGCAGATAAATAAGCATTGCACGTGAATTTGGACCATCACTAATGACACAATACTGTACTTGTCTTTCCTATCTCACAGGAACCGATACATGAAAAAAATGCTAACATTTTATGTAAGATAAAAAATGTTCACTTTTCAAGTGAACGTAGATTCCTGACATTAATGCCAATCAAAAGTGCCCTCGTGCTTTCGATAACATTTAATTTAGTACTCATTAAATCAGTCTTACCTTTTTGGAAGGTGAATTTCACTTGAGAACATGTAATAAATATCCCTGCTATTATGACATTCACAGAATACAGATAAGACGCCATATTTATGTTACTGTAACAGTTTCTAAGATGATTGAACCTAACAGCACATTCGAGCAATCAACCACATATATATAGCGATAATGCATGCATTGATAGTGGCTGTAAGAATTTGTGTTGTAGACAGAACGTGCATTTAAAGAGCAAAATTACAGCAGTACAAACAAAAGTGAATATGAGTTAATATATTCAGTTTAAAAAGCAAGACTGGGCTGGATATGTCAAAGAATCTTTTCCATACAACAAACTTTTAATCCCGGATATGATTCTGTTAAAAACTAAGACTGAGAGAGAAACAATTTTGAGGTCTATTAATAGTTTATAAGATGCAGAAGTGTTAAGCAGATAAGGTAATCGTAATCAGCTGTAAATGATTACAATTTACCGAATAATCATAAGTAATCAGATATCATCCCATTTTTCTGTTTACAAGAAATCGTTATTTAATTGATTTCACAAAATTTCCGTAATCATGATTGTGTTTTTGATTACTTTATGATTACAATTATAAAAAAGTCCATTGAATCATTATTTATGACGATATTTATCGAACACCTTTCGGTGTGTAAATTTGTTTATAAACAAAAGTTGTTTTAAAATTATAAGCTAAGAATAAAATTTTATGCTTAATATTCATAAATTCATAACATTGATGTGGTTGATAACGTTTTGAAGTCAGACAGACAAGGAGAGGGAAAGACGCTATCAATTTGATTATAATATATGGAAACAATTTGTTTAAATTGCATCATGATAAAAATAGGAAAATTTCATTAAAACTTTTGTGATCAATGAAAAGAAAATACTGAAACTCCTAGTTTCAAAACGGTGATTGCCATGTATTTTTTATTTTTTGATCATTACATGCTATACCAATAGTTCGAAGTAATTAAACTGACAGAAAAAATGAATGTGAATTTTGTTATACTGTAAACGTACTATATTTTGCGGTGTATTGAATTTAGCGATTTAGACAGAAAGATGAATACGTGAAATTAAGTACACCGCTAAATGGACTGTACATTATACGTTTACATCTAGAATCAGATGGCGCTAGATAAAATCTGCACCAACTTACTGAAAAATGAATTTCCGTAAAATATGTTACATGCCAATTATATACTAGTCAAAATTTCTAAATCCCCAGGCAAGTTTTTGCTTTACTTCGCTCTTATATTGAATTATTTTAACAGTATAATTTAATAAGTATACAGGATAATAAAGTATCAAAATATTTTTTCTCATTTAGTTTATTTTATTGAAGCACTTTAACACAATATGCAGAAAAGTTAAGGCACCCTAGAATTAAAAATTCACAACGTTAAATACTGCATTATTCCCCATTCAAACGAATTCACAGCAAGACAACCGTTCCTCAAAGATGTTACACTATTTTAGAAAAAAAAATTTCATTGAATGTTTTTTTTCCATGTAGAGACTAGGTCGTTCTCTAATTCTGCTACATTCTGCTGCTGGAAAAGTTGTCTCACACTCCGGTCTATCTTCTTCCATACATGTTAATTAGGGTTGAGATTAGGATGACAAGGGGGCTTATCGAAAGTGTCTGTGTCTTGTCAACAATATTTTCATAACGACTTCTTACATGTATTCCCAACTCCTCCAGTTTGACATTGAGGGGAGGGCTCTTTCGGTTCTGGTTCCATTGATTTTTCAGGATAAACTCTAGGATGATTTTGTGGTGTTTGTTGAAAATCTAGCGATTTCTACCGATCAAAAGGAATTCAGGTACGCTTTGTAGTATTTTGGGGCTGTAATTATAAAGGTTTTAGATAAAATTAAGTCATACAATGAAAGGAAACAGAACTCTCGTTAACTACGACCAGCTTAGGCCATTTCAACTTCACTTGCACATTGTTGTGTGGACATACACCGCATTTTATTCCAGCTTTTTTCTGTTTTTCGTTATCAATTAAAGATGGAGAACACATGGAAATAAAAAATGTTAAGAATACACCCTAAAAACATATAGAACTCGAACTTCATGCTTTTTAACAAAAACGGTCACGGTCGAGTAATTACACATTCAATTATATATTTGGCTTTGACAGGTCAGTATTGCAAATTAAAGGAAAATTTGTAAGCAACTAGTGAATTGAAGTTAATGTTTCTAAATTAAAAAAAAAAAATAATAAAAGTGGGGTCTTCGAAATTTTGACAAGTATAATACATTTACAGTATTTATACTACATATCAGGATCGAAGCAAATATTTTTTTTTTCTTTGCACTAGATGAGTACTACTGAGCTATCACCGATACACACATTGAATGGTTTTTTAAACAAACATAAACTACTGTATTTATTTACTGAATTTTTTTAAATGTCTGGTGGTTTTCTCGCTTTTTTTCCCAAACGTTTGATAGTTTGATTTTGAATTAAAATACTCCAAATTAGGTTTCACAATCATTTAGAGATCCCTGAGATGGCAAATGTTTAAGAAAAACGTATTCAAAATGTACGTAGCATGTTGTACTGTCTAACCAATTTAAAGTTCTTCTTTATTGGCAAATTAAAATACACTATTCGGAAAATACTTCTCTTCCTTATTTTTCAGGAACCCGATGCATGAAAAGAATGCTAAAATTTAGAGAAATAGACTAAAACAGTCCAGTCCAATACGAAAATTCGTAATATTACGAAGAAACGTAAGATTATGAAAAAGCGTAATAATACAAGTTATCGTAATATGAAACGTAAATTACAATTTTTCCTAATGTAGTTAAATTATGAATACGCATAATATAGCAGATTGTAAGAGACTATATAACGAGTTTTCGTAATCCAAGACAAATTCAAGCTTTGCAAGAAATTGAGTGGTGGGTAGCAAAGTATGACGTCAGTAATATATCAGATTCCACATCTACTGATAGCACGCGGTCAGTTTGGTCAGTTACGCCTATCAGACAGCATAGAAATTCAAGAAGAAAGTACCGCCAGCGATGAGTGAGTGGACAATTTCTTTTATTATTCTTCCATAGGAATTTTCCAAAGGATAAGACCAATTTTCCAGTAAATTTCAATATTCGCTTAGGCATGTCGCATTGGTCTATATCACCCGAACTCCATATTTTTCGCCCGTGACATCTCGTAGTAAACATCATACTTTGCTACCCGCCACTCAATTTCTTGGAATGCTTGAATTTGTTATGGATTACGAAAACTCGTAATATAGGCTCTACAATCTACTATATTACGCATATTAATTATGAAAAAATTGTAATATAAATTTTATATTACGTCCAAACAAATAGTACCAGGAGCACACTGAAGTAAAAATCTAGTCCGCAAAGTATTGTAATTGTCTGCAGAATACATACCAAAAATCTAGAAAACTTTGCTGTAGATAAATTTTTAGCAAATTTGTGACTTCATTACATTAAAAAAAAAAACAATTTTCTCAAAAACAAATCAACAATAAGGAACTTAAAATAAAGCAGTGGTCATTTGCCAAATTTTGTACGGTAAAAATAAATCTACAGCATTTTGACCAAGATTAGCAAAATTTAATCGACGAAATGATTTTAAGATTTACGGTATTATTTTACAATAAACAATTTACTTGAGGTAAAAATTTTTGTTTCTCTAACGGCTGTTGTTTGTATCTTTTATAATAGAAATTTATGTCTAAAGTTTATTTACCAAAAAGTCCTCCAATGTCTACCAACCACATTTTCCAGGGATCGAGTTAAATGTATAAATATTTAACAAGCAAAGTTTGATCAAGTAAAAGCACGTGAATACTGTGAAACATGAATATTTGTATGTTTTGATTTTCGTGTTTTTCGAGTTATAAACCAATATATTTTGTTTACTATTTTAGCTTCACAGAGTCTAACATATCTGTTTCATATTTGGATATTTTACTCGAGAAAGATTTTAATGGTAATCTAACAACCAAGCTCGCAGATATACGTGATGACTTTAATTTTTTTTATTGTAAACTTTAACAGCATTCTCATTTAAATTATTCAATTCCTAAGTTTTATAGTTGATACAATTAATGACATTGTCGATCAGCATATACAATTCATCATTGAGTGAAATGCTGACTGACGTTTTCCATACTGATTGTACATGTTTGTTCGTTATTAAAACCCTGAATTGACGACGGATTTTCCCATTATTTCCTTATCATGAGAAGAAGCACACGGCCGGTGTGACCTGTTTGCAGGGGGTGCGCATTTCTCCATGGCACCTGATGCCCGAAAATGTATTTGATTTTGCCCCTTCTAAGTTTACAGATAATCTTTCCAATAAATCTAAGGAATGTTAAGTAGGCTTGAGTGTATTGTCTCAAGATTTGTACATGTACAAATTTATATTACTACTTCTTGCGTTTTGCCATTGATTCTGCGTGCATAATAGAGCTACTCTTACTTGTATTTTGACGGCGCATATCGGCCATGATACTTTCCAGTCATGTAAAAGCATAGAAAATACAGAATTTACATGAGCTGTACTATTTTTCTCTTTAGGCAATACATAGAACTACTTGCAAAAAAACGTGTATAAAGATGGTTGCCTTTAACAAGAAACCATAGAAAACCATTTGAGAACTATCACAATCCATTAACCACTAGCATATCATAATCTTATTAATTAATAGTTCGTGTAAATTATGTCTTAAGTAAGTGAAATAAAAAAAAGAGGTTAAAATCATTTCAAGATATAATATGCTGCCTTGTTAAACAAATTCGCATTGAAAAATGTGATGTTAAATCCATGTGAGCTTAATGCGTGTGCGGAGCTGTATTGTTTATTAATACCCATAGTAATCAAACTACATTGTCGTGCAACTTTATATGTGTATGTACCATGAATTACATCTTTTAATATACTATTTACATGAAGGATACAAACTATTTGAAATCTTGTTTAAGCTTTGGATATTTGGAAACAAGCGAGGTTAATGACATAGTAGTACATACTGATTTAACAGAAGTAACAGTCTTTAAACTTATAACTAATTGACTATTGCTTTAAAGATGTGCG